GGGCCTGGATCCGCCTCTGCCGCCGCCCCGGGGAAGGGTTGGCCCAGGCTGGGTGGGCGCGGGGCCTTGTCACCCGGAGGTACCTGGACAGGGTCAGCCTGCGGTGACCGGAATGGGACGTGCCAGCACCGCTCCTGCTTGGGCCCGTGCCCCCGCCGCGGGCATCTGCTGCCGGGGGGGTCGTTCAGGGTGCCCTTCTCAGGGGAAAAGGGCTGGGAGTTACCGCCCGAAGCAGGGCTTACTGCAGGGGTGGAGGTGGGGTGAGTCTGTGGTAGTGCACAGCTGAACTCTGCAAAGAGACGCTAAAATTCTGCAGAAGGTGACATTTTCTCTGAACATGTTTTCATCGTTTCAGGAGTCTCCGAAGTCTACCAAAAGCACCACAAAGCCTGGCAGCAGCAGTAGCGGGAAGGATGGTGGGGCAGAGAATTCGGAAGAGGTAAGGCTCTCACCTTGGATACAGCAGTGTGCATGTGCAACTCATCTTTGAGGAGGAATAACATCTTTCATTCTAGCTACTTCAAGCTGCTCTGCCAGATAACGTATGTCACCGGGATCTTAAGGAATCAGAGAAGACTAAAGTTAAGATGAAGTTAGTTCCCCTTGAAAGTTGGCCCAAAGGGAACAATGAGTATGGAAGAGACAGGATGAGTCTCATACCCCGCAGCCCTGCGAAAAGAGATTTGGCACGAAGCTGACGGCGAGCACTGCTCGCAGAGGTGGGCAGAGCATGGTAAAGTTGGCTGCAGAGAGGGAAGAGTCACGGTTATCAAGAAGGAGGAAGCCTGACAGACGGGAGTGGCTTCCTTGCTCCTGTCAGAGCAAAGCACAATAAACTGTTGTCACCTTGTGTCAGAGTGGGGGAGATAGCAATAGAAAAGGAGTGTGTTCTTCTGAGGCATTTTCTGGGGGACTGAGATTAGAAAATAATAGATAGGACACCTGAAACAGCAGAGGTAAACTGCTAGAGATCAAATGGTTCTTCTTTGGTATAACAGCCTTGTTGCTGAACACATTACTCACAAGAAGGCACAGTCTGTATTCCCAGCTGTGCAGAGTCTCTTTCACTCTCAATTTTGATTGTTGCCAAGCTAGATGTGTTAGAATGGCCTCAGCAGAATGTGATAATATAGTAAGCTGTGCTTAGAATTATCAGAAAGTTGGGTGAACTGGAACTTTTCTGGTAGACTTGAGTTTGTCCAGCACTCAAACAGTGTGGTTGTGGATTTTGAGACTTGGCTCAGAGGAACGTTGCACATGTGTCCAAGGAAGCATGCATATGTGTGTGGTTTATTTTTTTCAATACTGCAAGTTGGCAAACAAGCTGTGCCACTTCTATGTTCGTAGAAGCTCGTGTGCTCAAGTCGTGTCTGGAACACGTTGCACTTGTAGTTTGGAGGATTGGGGATAGGAGACATGTAAGGCTAATGAAGACTAGGAAGAAATTTGTAGTTCAGTGGGATGGTCATAGTCAAAATAAGGTTATTTTAGAGTCGTCTTCAAAGCATAGATCTATGTTGCAGAGCCTCAGAAAATATCCCTACTACTAGCCGCTTGGTTTCAGGGTCCAAGCCGTGCTCATGCCTAACCTGCCGTGTGGCCAGCAAGGAATCAGAAGCTGAGTTTGTTTGCCTTGGAGCAGGTAGCAGTTTTGTAGATCCTCTTTTTATATCCCATCCTGGTCTTGGCCTCTACCCATTTTATTTTGTGTATACAGCTGAAAGCTTGCTGGGAGAGCTGTCTGCTGACTCTGAGGAAGTGAGAGAACTCCTGCCTTGGCATCATGGGGTCAGGCTTACCTTTTATTTATTTGGCACTCTTTGTCTGCTGAGTTCACAGCTCTGGGAAGAGGAAGGAAAGCCTGAGTCTTGCAATGCAAGGGTGATGGATAGCCATCAAAGCAGCACACTGATGTCCCCATCCAAATCAGCGATGGGCTATGGCGCTGCTCTCCTGGTTACAAGTGGTGCAGTAAGAAAGGAAGAATAGTGCAGACTATAAGCTTCCTTCTGTGACCTGAAACGGCACGTAATGTCTGGTTGTGCCTGGGTGCAGAAGAAACTTAGAAGTGATGCATCTAACCTTCCCTCCCACAAAACATACCCAGCCACTTCCTCATACTCCAAACAAAATCCAGCCCTTCTTTAAGATGGAAGGCTGGGTCTCCTTTGATCATAGGAACAGAGAGCAGAGCAGAAAGGAGACACCTCTGCAGTGTGCACTGCCACAGGTCTCTTCTCCCTTTCCCTGTTGAGTCTGCAGTGAAGTTTAATCTCTCTTGGTGCTTTCCTGTCTCCGGACTGCCCTGCTGCAGAATGGAAGAGAGTTCTTTGCTTGATAAGAAGAAATGTATACCAGCTTGAATGCAATTTTCCTGCTCTTCAGGAAGCACAGAAAGGTATTTTGACTTTCACAGTGGGGGACCGTGAGGAATTAGGTAACATGTGCTGGGAGTGAGAATCCTTCCTCATGTCAGAAGCAGGAGGTGGTTTGACTTGTGAAACGCCAGGAGGGGTATTGCCTGGTGGGGTTGATAGGCTGAGCCTAGCCTGGATGCCTCTGCTGCCATTGTGAGAGTTTTGTGCCCTGTAAATTCCTCCATGGAGTTACGGTTGGTTTGTTGCCTTTTTTAGGGTGAAAGTTGTGTGCACAAGAGAACTTGCTTTTTTCTTCATATCTCAACAGATGCTTAATGGGCTTGCAGCAGGAGAGCAGCATTTGGGCAGCCCTCTTCCAGTATGCGCTTTCCTCTCTCACACCGTGCTCCAAGGAGCAGGGGAGGATTCTGCCCTAATTTATCCTGGTACAGAAAGTTGTGACTTGTTTTGCAGGCAAGTTGTCTGGCGGGTGGAATGAGTAAAGCTTGTGGAAGAGCAGCTCTGGTTTGACAGATCTGAGCAAGTGCAGAGGATGAGGACCTCCTATGCGGATCTCTGTGGAGGGAGATGAAGAGGGTAGGAGTCAGTCCAGAAACCCTTAAGCATTAGTGCTTTGTTCTCTGCAGCGAAGAAGCTTTTAGTGGAGCTGATCTGGAAGGGCAGATATGTTCAAAAGCAGACGCATCCCCACAAGGGAAGGCAAATGTTTCAGTTCCCTTGTAAGTACAGGGGTAGTGCAGTGCTCTTTTAGATGCCCATCTTAGGGTGAAGCTATCTGAGGTGGAGAGTCAGCAGAGCTTGGCCAGCCCCTGGCTTGGAGGGGGCAGTTTGCTCAGGAAGAGACAGGAGCAGTGGATGAAAACACGAGAGCAGGGAGTGGGAAATGAAAGGTTTGTTTAGTTCATTCCATCTGCAACATGATGAAGATATGAATGGAGAGAATTTCTGCATGGCAATTTAAGGAGAAAAAAGAAACAATGTCAGAGACCAAGGCAGCGTTGAATGAGAGGATGAGAAAGAGTTACTCCTCCTGGCCAGAAAGACTGGGAGAGGCAGCTGGGTGGGGAAGAGAGTTAATGACCTGGAAGTGGGAGCAGGGATTAGCAGCAGCAGCAAAGAGGAGAGAGGAGTTGCTCTGCAGCCTCAAGGGCAGCTTGGAGGCTCGCTGATGAGATTTACAGCTCTGGGAGAGGGTGCTCCTTTTCACTGAGCTGCTGTATTACGTGTTTTGCAGATATCTCCATGGGGCTTGTTACTGCAGTACCTGGAGTTCATTATTCAGAGACAGGCGTTACAGTGTGCTGATGTTACTTCTGAGGCAGAGAGCTTGATTTTAATAGGGAAGCTGTGTAACAGCAGACAAAGAGAGCAGGTATTGACTTGAGGGATGGGAAGGGAAGAGTCATCTGAGGAGGAGGAGCTGAGAGCAGATCTGGGCTGAGAAGCTTAGCAAGCGGGGGATGCTCAAGGGACCAGTGAGGCAGAAGGGCTTTCCGAGTGGCGATGCACCCAGCGGCGGTAGGAGTGCCTGCAGAGGTGAGGTCATGCATGGGTAGGGGAGTGGAGGAGAACCTGGCACAGCTCAGGGTGGCTGGGGGAAGAGGGTTTTTGTTCCTGGGAGCCCCAGGTGAAGAGAGATGGCACAGAGCAAGCCCAGGACCTGGGGCTCATTGACTTGTGCAGGCAAGTTCCTAGCAAGGAGGAGAGGTGGTGGGAACCAGTGGGGAGGAAGTGCTAGAAGCCAGGGAGCCTGTGCTTGGGGGAGTTCGAATGCGGTTGCAATTGGGGCTGGGCTGTCCTGTTGGCATGAGTAGCCACTCCACTGCAGCGGGAAAGGTGGGGCTGCCGCACCACGCTTGGGCGAACAGCTTTGTGCTGTTCTCCGATCACTTCAGCACGTGCAGCGTAACAGCCGCTGGCAAACAGTGTCTCCCAAGCAGCCAGCTTTGCTGTGGTGGTGTGAGCCCTGCCTGTCAGGAAGGGGCTGAGCCTGGTCAGGTAGATGTGTGCCTGCAGCCGTGTAGTGGTCAGCTGGTGTTGATGTTGGGGAAACAGTCTGTGAGGTTGATACCTGTGCATTAAGAGAAAAGCTTTTAGTTTTAGCAGTCTGCTGTGTTTTCAGGGATGGAAACTTCAGAGAAGGAAGTGTTAGGAAACTTAAAACAAGCCTCTCCTGATTCATGTAGGTAGGCCAAGGAAGGAGGTGTTGAAGGCAGAAGGACAGCAGGCCTACCACAGGAGGCACCTCCTGAAAGCAAGTATTCAGTCTGATGCCAGAAAGTCCATATAGAAGCAATCCATCCTAAAACCCTGTGAGCACTGACCTCCCCCATCATCGGATTTTCTCTAGCAAACTCGGTTGTGTGATTTTTGCATGGTATGTCTGTTTCTTAAATAACTAGCAGCTAAACCTGAAGCTGTGTTTTGTCTCTCTTCATGCCAGCTGTTGAAGGCTGTAGAAGCTGGTGGCAAGGACTTTTCCAGAACCCTGAGGAAGGCAGTGTGGCTGCAGCCTATTAGCGTGCGGTACACACACCATGCTCAGAACATCTGGGTGTGGGTGGGGAGTGCATAGACATGTCCCGTCAGCTAGGAGAACCCACGAGTCCTGCCTCCCTCAGTGTTACCTGTAAGGCCGCCGATGCATCTTTTGTTTCTCTCTGTGCCATCTTTTCTCTGTGGTGGCTCAGCATTCAGATTTTGCCCTTCTTCCCTGTGGAAGGAGAGTGATGCAGAGTAGAGGACTAGCCTTCCCGAAAGCGTCTGGACACCATCTGGATGGCTCATGCTGCCCTGATACCCCAATATTCAGGGTGAGGAATGAACTTCTCACTCTTGGAAGGTTGACAGCAAGGATTCAGCCTGACTTATCTGAGGCGAGACCACTGTTCAGGATAAGTTGCCTCCAATTTGTAGTCTGGGCCTGCTTTGTCTGGCAGATGCAGATGTTTTCATCACAGGCTCATCTTGCTCCCTCCTCTTAGCATGGGACAATGCTGCTCCATGAAAGGAATCAGATCAAATCTAAACTGAAGAGAGTTCAAATCTTCTTGTCTCCCCCCACCTTGGCTTGGAGCTGAGCGTGAAACAGAACCACTTAAGATTTCTTTCAAGCAGATCCAGACCAGAACTAAAATATTTCTGATTTCTGGTTCAGAGTAATGGCTTGACAAAACAATTGGTGTTTCGTGTTGGGCACTGTTTTTCATAGGGAGTCTTTGCACTTGCTCTTCAGATCCTGATCTGTAGAGCAGTGTCTCCTTGTAGGCAGCTTTCCCTATTCCTACCTCGCTGCCTCCCCATGTGCTGCGGGTGCAGTAACTCTTGCTCTTGCATTGTGGTGCTGTGCTGCACCTCTGTGGAAACCATCAGGACTCAGTTCAGGGTAAGGACTCTGCAGGGTAAGCTGCAGCTCAGTTGCTCCTCACAGGAAGAGACTGGCTATATCTCATTTGGAGGAGAGCCCTGATGAGCTTCTGCACTGCTGGTGCTTTACCTCAAAATCCTGCTGGTCGGTGTTCTGGGGAGGTGTGCGTTTGTACCACTATGCTGTATGTGGCAGCTGGGAGTTTATGGCGGAAGGAGAGGGAGACGTCCAAGGATTTCACCCACCTCTGCTCCCCATCCATTGCATTATCCCTGTTGTGTCCTGAACAGGTTCACCCTGCAGTTCCTTGGCTTCACGTGCCAGCAGGAAGGAGGTGGCAGAGCTGAGGAAGGGAGCGTTGCTGGGCTCATGCAGCAGAGCCAGAGTAGGCTGAGAGTTGTCTCCAGCTAAGCCCTCTGCTGGCAGGATGTTGCTCTCTTCCATATTAAGTTTTCCTTGAGTTGGGTCAGTGTGGTGTTAAAGGGTCAGTTATTGAGCCATTATGGTCCAAGTGGGACTTGAACCAGCAGAGCTTCAGCAAGGTTGGAACAGAGCTGGGCTGAGTAAACACTGGCTTGAGTTTCTGGTCACCTGCTAAAAAAAAGAAGGTGCCTCTGTAAGTGCTGTTTAACAAGCATGAAGTGGAGAGGATGTCTGCTGGAGGAAAGTGCAGGCAAAGGATTTGTGTGGCTAAAAGGGGTGGCGTGGAAAAAGCAAGTCAACAGGAGAAGTCCAGACAGCAGTGAGGCTGAGACAAGGCAGAGATGGAGGGAGCAGCCAGGACGGGTTGGGAAAGCCTGGGACCTAAGGTTTGGGTATGGCCTGTGTGGTTTGTAGACTAGCAGCTCCTGGTCTATGGATGCAGCAATGATTTTAGTGGTCTTCACTATTGCCTTTCCAGGGCCGTCATGTCTGCTCTGTACTACGTGCTGCTTTGCTTTTTCCCAGGTGGTTCCCTGCACAAGGATAAGGAAGCAACTTGCTAGTTTTCAAAACTTACTTGCTGTGTGTTGTGCAGAGTGCTGTAATTGGAGGCAGCAGCACACTGAGATTTCTGTTTGGACCACGGAAAGTCCTTATTTCTGCTTTTTTGTGTCAAGAAACTCCTGTAACTTGTTGCAAGATGTGGCTTTGCTTTCCATATCCCTAGCACCCGGTGTGCCGAGAGGCTCTGATGTCTTTGTGGTGCCTCGCAGATAGGAGTAAAACTGATGTTCGCTTTACAGGTATGCTGCAAATGCAACCAATGGAGCCCTGCAGGAATGGGAGAGATGCACTGAATTGCAAGTGCAACAGTGAAAAACATGCCCAGTTTCTTTAGTCCAAGAAGATGCTGACGGTATCTGATTGCTTGTGAGGCTTGTAGATAAAAGCTTATGAGTTGTTTTACTCTCTTCTCCCTCATCAGGCCCAGCAGCCTCAGCAGCAGCCACAGCAGCAGCAGCAGCAGCAGCAAACTTCAAATAAGCGGCCCAGTAACAGCGCTCCCCCACCAACCCAGCTGAATAAGATTAAGTACTCGGGGGGACCCCAGATTGTGAAGAAGGAGCGCCGGCACAGTTCTTCTCGCTTCAATCTGAGCAAAAACCGGGAACTGCAAAAGCTCCCAGCCCTTAAAGGTAAAGAAGCTGTGGCGTGGGGGTGACCTGCATGACAAGCTGTGCCTTCTCCAAGCAGAGTATGGTGGTGTAAGGGCTCTTCCCAAAGCGTCCCTGGCAGTGTCCTGCTAACCTCCTGCCGGCAGTGCAGCAGGGATGGCTCTGGGAAAGGTGCTTGGCTTGGCAGCAGGTTGAGAATTGATGGATAGCCTAAAAGAAAAGGAGGATACTCAATGCAAACTTCAGTACTTACCTTCCCATTTGAACTGATTTAAACCCTTGTGCTTATATGTACTTAGGATTGCCTCAGATTCTTCAGCAGGTTGTGCAGGAAGGTGGTGAAGTGCAGAAACCTTGGTGCAGACTGCTCTTGGGTCCTACAGCCACCCGTTCCAGGCCTCCTCCTCCTCCTCCTTGTGTTTCCATTGCAAATTATGGTAGTGCTATTGAACTTGTCCACATTAGGGCAATTACCCAGCATTAGCGGTTAGTCTACATAATGGTGCAGTTAAACATGACTTAAGTGTGGACAAGGAGAAAGCATTTTCAGCAGTCACTCAGCCAGACCCGTTGCTGACATTACTCACAGAAACAGGCAGTCCTTTTAGGAAGGGCGACTGCCTTGCAGCTCAGCAGCCATTCTGCAAGCAAAGAGGTAAGTTTGCCTGATTGGCCTTAGCAGTGCATGGTTTCCAGTGGCAACATATCAAAAAGAGAATGCTGTTAATATAGGGCTTCTGCCACCTTGGCCCCTCTCTTCTGGGCTGCTCTCTGGGAGGAGGGTTAGCCTACAGTGTGTTCTGCCCAGCTCCCTTTGTGACTGTGGGGTGCAGGGCATGGGTGTCACTGGTCTGTGATGGGAGCTAGTTAAGTGAGTTCCTTTTCCAGTGTACCTTGTACTGGGAAGGGATCAATGCTTACCAGATCAAAAACCGCTACCGTGTTTGAAATCACCTTATGCGATAGTTTCTCCACAGGCTTTGCAATCCCTCTGCCTCCACTGTCCCATCTCCATAGCAGGGGTAACATTGCCTCTCCCTCTTTCCCCACCAGCTCAAGGGGGACTGTGACAGGGGAGGGGGAATGCAGGACAGGGAGGAAACCACACTGATACCTGGGCAAACCAGGAAGATGTCCTGCCTATCTCCAAGGACAGACATCCCTGCTTTCTTTGACAGATGCTCCTCCACACGAACGAGAAGAGCTTTTCATCCAGAAGCTGCGGCAGTGCTGTGTGCTTTTTGACTTCATCTCTGACCCCCTCAGTGACCTGAAGTTCAAGGAGGTGAAGCGAGCAGGTCTCAACGAGATGGTGGAATACATCACACACAACCGTGATGTTGTCACTGAGGCCATCTATCCTGAAGCTGTTATCATGGTAGGGCATGGGCCCAGTACGTGCTTGTGTGCCAGAGAAATAGGGACTGTTCAGAAGCATGGTGGGGAGGAGAGGATAGGGATTTGTCAGAGAGGAGTGTGACCCCAGTCCTACCCATTCCTTATTACCTGCCCACCCCCAGAAAGAGAAGAAGGGGGCAGGGGTGACAGTCCTGGTGTAGGGAGAGGTGGAAGCTCTTGTCTCTGGCACAGACGGTACTTGTGGAGCTCATATGCAGACTGTAACCCTACAGCCTCTAGGGAGGAATCTGTTTGTGGGCACAGCTATGGCAAATCACAATGTGTTGCTCTGCAGTGAAGGATTTGCTATGGGGAGGACCATCATACGGTGCAGGGATGTCATTCATACATCTTTTCACTCACCTCAGTTTTCAGTGAACCTCTTCCGGACGCTCCCGCCATCATCCAATCCCACAGGTGCAGAGTTTGACCCTGAGGAAGATGAGCCTACATTAGAGGCTGCCTGGCCGCACCTGCAGGTGAGGAGTGGGGGGCTACAGATCTCCAGGAAGTTGAGAGTCTATGTAGTGCTGGAGCCTGCCAGCCCTGGTGCTGGCTGCTTCCCCAGCCTGGGAGGGTTGCTGGTGTGGGGACGGGGAAACACCAGGCCTGCCACCCATAGGTCAGAGGTGGCTTGCAGGCAGTGCAGGCAGCAGGGGTGTCCTGGAAACAGTCCTGGAATGTCTGCCACGTTCACCTGCAGATGGCTGTAGTCCCACATGGCCCTGAGGTAGGCTGGGAGTGAACACTTTTCTGGGAGTGAGGGAGGGGAGTTGTGCCATATTGCCTATGTAAGAAGCAGTTCCCAGCAGTGTTAATGTCCCTCCTGAAGGCTCAAGAGCCCTCACCCTCTGGGCTTCAGCAGCATTGGAGACAGCACCCCTGTCTGCTTCAGCGCTCCTCTCCTCTCCCAGCTCCCTGGGAGGCACATGGAGGAAGAGGACTGCTTGATACCAAAGCAAAGCCTGTGCTGGCACCTTCTAACATGTCTCCAGTATGCTGGATATAATTGAGTTGCATTAACTGGGAGCAAACGTTTGACCAGAAAAAATAGGGAACTGGAGGGGAGGAAGAGGGGAAGGGAGCCAAGGATCTTTTCATTAGGCTGTGTGTCCTGGAAAATAGACTTTAAGACAAACTAGGTGAAAAGGGTTATGAAAGCAACAGTGATCATGGTTTAGCAGAGCTCAGCAGTGGAAGTCAGGAGGTAAGCTTATGGGGGTCTCCCCAGGCACTTGCATGGGGACGTGTTGTCGAGCAGACAAAGGCAGAACAAGATCCAGGCACTGCAGAACGAAGCAGAAAATAGAGAGGAAATAAGGTGCAGATCTGCAGCAGTAGTTAATCACTTCTCACTGCTGCAGTTGACATAGAGATGTGAGTGTCGACAGAAATGGCATGTCCCCAGCACCAGAGTGCTATGAATGCTAGGAAGCATTTGTTTCTCAGGGTTAAGTCAGCAGTAGCCGGCATGGATTTGTGGCAGGTGTGTGCTGAGTTTTTTTGTCATCACCTCAGTTTTTTCCTGTGCTGCTGTCCTTGGCAGCTGGCCCTACCTGTGCATGGGTGGCCCCATAGCTCCTTCAACTCCAGAGTCAGACCTTTGAGATGCAGCGCTCTTGTTTGGCTTAGTGGTCCCTCAGAAGCACTAGGCAGGGTCAGCCCTGGAACGGACTCATCCCTCTAGGAGCACAGCAGGACCAGAAGTTGCTGTTTCTGCACTGACAGTCTTCTTAAAGCAAGCTGCCCTTTGTTGTCCAAGTGGGACATAGCATGCAGCTTGCATGGCTTAGCAGGGCCAAGCCAATCTGGAGTCAGTCCTCAGGAGGCAGAGGACACAACATGTTTTCCTGGGGTCTGTTTCATTTCTCAGCTTTTCTGTTCTTCCTTGGTGTGTCTCAAGGGCTTCCCATGAAGCCTGAGCCTTTGCCATCTCCTCTGGAGGTTTCTTTTCTTTGTAGAGATGTGGCCTGAAGGTGGGTGAAGAGTTTAGCAGGCTTGGTGTCTTCATCTGAGTAGGTGGCTGTTGTCTTTGGTGGGACCTGAGGTGATGATCTCATGCAGACTTGGGCAGTTATGTGCCTCTGCCCCCCGGCCTGTCAGAGCAAGGGCAGCTGAGTTGATCCCACTGGGTGGTGAAACACAGGTTCCTGTGTTTTCTGTGCTCCTGTTCAGGCTTCCCAGCCTTTCCCTGAATCCTTAAGGAGAAGGAAAACATTTAAAATCTGAAGTAAACACTGATGAGAGGACAGGGGGATTTCTAAGTGATCTCTCCTTCTCCCCCCATAGCTGGTGTATGAATTCTTCCTCCGGTTCCTGGAATCGCCTGACTTTCAACCAAACGTAGCCAAGAAATACATTGACCAGAAGTTTGTACTATCTGTAAGTAATTGTTGCCCCCGCTGCTGTGCACCACCTTTATGACAGACATGCAGCAGATTTTGGTCAAGGTGTTATGCAAACAGTCCAGCTTTGTCAGCAGGTGCTTGATGATGTGGATTTTCTTTTTTCCTTTGCCTAGTCTTGAATGAGCAGTCAGAATTCTCTGTGCAGGGCAAGAGTGTGTGTGAACTGTAGTCCCTGGAACGCATCACTCATTTTACAGGTGGAGAAGGGTACTGATGGCCTCGCAGGGGAAATCCGGGGACACACAGCTTTGTAGAGTGTGCAGGCCATCACTGTGCTTCTGAAGACAGAAGAAGTGCTGATGGTTCCAGCTTGTGACGAGGAGGCTGCATGTTTCTGGGAAGTGACCACTGTGCTCAGGGTGCTGAAGGCATCACTCAACCGAAAGAGCCTCTTTTGCCAAGCAGGAGTAGTGACCAGTGTTGCTGGTAGCTTTGTCCAGACAGGCAGTATGCAGACATTGACTGAATTTCTCTCCTCACAGCTGCTGGATCTCTTTGACAGTGAAGACCCCAGAGAACGAGACTTCCTAAAGACTATTCTGCACAGGATCTATGGAAAGTTCCTGGGTCTGCGAGCGTATGTGAGGCGGCAGATCAACAATATATTTTACAGGTGAAATGTTTGTTAGTGCCACTGGCCTAGTGAGTGAGTGGAACAATCCAGTGAGATAAATTTGAGGCACTAGGCTGTGATTCTCTCTGATCCAGACTGTGATTAGCTAAGTGACTCAGTTATGTCACACTACTTTGGTAGGGATAGCATTCACCTGTGCTTAAGAGCAGTGGGGACGTGATAGTGCTGTCTTCAGTGCACACAGAAAATGTTGGGACCTGTGAGCTTTAGCTGATCTGGGGGCCATGAATTTATTTGCTTTTACCTCTTACGCCTTGCCCTGTCATCTTGGAGTTGTTAGTTGCTAGGAAACCCCTCGTCTCCAGTTTTTCCTTCCTTTTCCTTATCAAACTGTATCCAGCGTTTGGCAATGACCTCTCATTCTTTTCTTCTCTTTAGGTTCATCTATGAAACAGAGCACCACAATGGGATTGCAGAGCTGCTAGAGATCCTGGGAAGGTAAGGGCACTTTTGGAAGTCCCAGAGGGCCCATAGTGAGTGAGATGTCCCAGCCCAGCGTGCTGTGTTAGCTGGCAGTGCCTTCCTTCCGGCAGTTTTTGTAGGAGCCACCTCTTCCAGAGGGTCTCAATCTGACAAAGCATACAGTGAAAGTATTCTCCAGCCTGCTGATAAAAGCAGTGGTAGCCTTCTGGTCGCCAGATTTGTCTCCTGTTCTTTTGAGTTTGAGTCCAGCCAGACTTGCTCTCTTGCCTCAGCAGGCACTAAAAGAGAAGAGTTCCTCACAGCCCTGAGAAGCCTTAGCAGTGGGCAGCCTTCTCCATGGCTTCAACTGTCCTTCTGTTTGCAGCCCTCTCTTATGCCGTCATCCTCCTGTTCTGTAAAGTACAAGCATCGAGGACTGGGCTGCCTCTGTGCTGGCCTTCCCCAGAGGTTCTGCTTAAGTGTGTATGGGCTCAGCCTGACACAGGACAGAGCAGAGCCCAGGCCCCATCAGAGGTGTTTCCCTGCCGTGCCTGCTGAGGAAACACTCTTGCTGAGCATGGTATGCAGGTCAGGCCCCAGTGACTGCACTTCTTCTGGTGGGTGCTTTCTCAAGTGACTAATGAGAGCTAGAGCAAGCCACTGATTCTTTTGAGGTGAGAGATACTGTATTTCTGCTGGGTGAAGATGTTAACGAGATTCTTGTTTCTTTTCAGCATAATCAATGGGTTTGCTTTGCCCCTGAAGGAAGAGCACAAGATGTTCCTCATCAGAGTCTTATTACCACTGCACAAGGTGAAGTCTCTCAGTGTCTACCACCCACAGGTGAGAAGTGCTTCAAGTTCCCAGGGCAGAATGTGATTCTTGCAAAAGCCATTGTTCAGGCTTGCTTATAGTTATTCACTGGGCTGCATTACTGTGTTGTACAAAGTTCTTGCTGTGAGATGTTTTGGGCTCTGCACTAGTCACCTACTGCAGTGGTTTGTCCCAACCTTGTGGTGCCTGGGCCTGTATGTATGCGTTTGTGCTTTTTGCCACTGGCTGATTAGGAGCGTATCCTGCCATTTCCTGCTTACTTAATGCTGTGGCTTGCTTTTCTGTGCTGGAAGTTTGTGAAACATTGGGGCCCTGCTGAAACCAGAGAGGTAAAATTCTGAGCTGCAGCCGTCAGCCTGTGTGTGTGGTGTGTCAGCTGTTAGTCACTGCTGAGATATGCGAAGAAATCAGTGTGCTGGGCTGCTAGGCTGGTATAGAGATTAATTTTTTCCAATTTAGAATACATAATAGAAGAGTAGAGAAGATAGGACTCAGGCTAGGAAGTGAAAAAGTATGGGTACTGAGCAGTGATGTCTGTTCTCCCAGCCCTCTTTTTATGGGGCAGGGCTTTGTGATAGTCAGGCTTGTTCCTTCCCGTGTGTGCTTGAATTTGAATGTATTAGCTGTGGACTGCTCTAGGTGGCTCAAGTTTTATCCTTTATGCTGCACAAATGTCCTGAGCTCAGGCCCTGCCTGCTTGGCCCTGCCTTCACTTGCCGTCAGAAGAACTGGATTCGTTTGAAGCTGCAACTGTCTGCTCATCAAACACACTGTGGAGGGCATAATGTGACTTCCAGCCTAGGGTGGTGGTGGCATTTTAATCTCAGGTACACTTGAAGAAGCTCTAATCTTGCCATGTTTTTTTCCTACAGTTGGCATACTGTGTTGTACAGTTCTTGGAGAAAGACAGCAGCTTGACAGAGCCAGTGAGTAACCTTGCTTAACCTCTGTGTGTCAGTCAAGTCCCAAAAAGCTTCATGGCTTCCTTAGAGTACAGCAAGGGTGAAAAAAAGCTAAAGAATCTGGGAGTCAACTGGATTGTTTACTGGGTTTGCCTGGTACCCTGTGGGCAGAAGGGACTATGCTGCTCATGTGCAAGCCTTTAGCATTCTCTCCTGAAAGGTTCAGGAAGATGGGCTATAGTCTTCCTTTGTGCTTCGGATCATGTAGCAGAATGAACACTATACCAAGCCATCCTTTCAGGGCAGAGCTTTCAGCTAGTGACAGATGCTGCTGTCAAAACACATGGCCATCTGATATCTGATGGAACCAGCATGAGCTCCTGGGGGCCCTGAAATAGTAAGAGTTCACTCCAGACTGCCAGAGTTGGCTGAAAAACTGTGGGGATGAGGTTAGGAACCTGGGACACAAAGATATTCTTAGGCAAGCCACTGTTCCTTGATGAAAGTATTCTCCTTCCTGCTCTAGCATCGGTTTGCTACCTCCGTAGTGTTAAGTCACATTGTAGACACATTTGCCTTCAGGATGTAGTGCTGGGAAACAGCAGGTTCTAAAATGTGTGAGCAGTGTAGATGGGGACCTCACATATTCCGCTTACTGGCTGCACAGACCTGCAGTGTTAACCAGGCTGTATGCCGGCTTGGCAGAGAGTGCAAGCAGGAGACAACTGTTTCTCCACCCACTGCAGGCCAGGAAATATCTTCTACAGAGCTGAGCTTCACAGCCTCAAAACAGCAGATGGCCAAAGAGCACGTGCTTGTGTCACTGTAGCAGGGAGCACCAGAAAGTGTGAGCATTTTAATGAGTAACGCTAGCTGAGGTTGTTCTGTTCTCTGGCTGAAATGTGTGCATTCGTGGTGAGCCTCACTGCTCGGTGGAAGCTGGTCAGCTGTTGTCAGCTTTCTGGCTCCTCAGCTCTGACACCAGCAGTGCTGAAGCAGACCTCCCAGCTTTTCCTTTAAATGTGAGTCCTCCATTTCCTGTGTTCCCAAAAGCCTGCTCTGAAACAAACTGCGTAAAGTAGCTTCCTGATCACGCTGAGTACTTCCTGTGGCTGACATCCAACCCAACAACCTCCTGCCAAAGCACTTACTGTAGGGTGAGGGAGAAGAGAGAAATAGAAATCTGTCAATATTTCCAGGATTCATTTTGTAGCTTATTCAAATAGTAAAGCTCCAGAGCTCATCACTGCTTCCTGGGTAATGGGTCAGTGGCCCCTGGATTAGAGACCCAGGTCTGGTGTTGCGTTGGGTCTCAACCAGACATACCAAGGCCATATTGCTACACGTTGTGTCCTGTTGAAGCATCCTGCTTGTCTTGAAGAATTACAGGGCTTGTGCATCAGCAAGGCTCTGAATGCACTAGGAGATGTTGCCACCAGTGCTGGAAGGAGGCCAGATCACTTCACTAGGTCCACACTCGCTTAGAGTGGGGCCTCCCAGAAGCTTGCTCAGCAAGGCTTGACATGGTAGCTCTTGCGTTAACAGCAGACTGAATGACTGCCAGGTGAGCAAGGCCTCAGATGTGCTCAGTAATAGCAAAGACAGACTCGACACACCTCGCACCGCCTTAGCTGTAGGAGAAATTATGTCCGAGTCACTGAAGCTAACTCTTGCCTGAATGGCAGACCTGAGTAATGACAAAGACTGAGGATACCAAACTGTTGGCTTCTGAAGCCTTGAGTTGGTGGAAACATAATGCTCAGATTTTTCTAACCTTGCTGTTGCATTGCCCACTACTGTCCCTCCACTGCTGTGAACTTCCTCTCGAGTGCTGGCTTCAGGATCAGGTTGCTGAAGTACACAGAGTTTGAAAGAGCAACCCCTACGGCCAGTTGTGTGTGAACCTAGTGTCCGCAGAGTTAGCATTTCTGTAAATGCTGTACCAATGGCTCCAACAGAGTGAAGGTCTGCAGGATCTTGGATCCTGCCTTTGACCATGTCTAGAAGCAGATGGGTAGGGAAGGAAGCAATATTAAAAATAAACAAAAAAAATCAAGTGGGATGTAGCCCTTCCTCTAGTATATTCTTCCAGTATCTTGTAAGCAATATTTTACTCAGCCAGAAGTTGCACCTGCATTGTCGTATTTAATTATCACCATTAGGTGTAACCTCCATAAACTTGTCTACTCCCTTCTGGAGTCTGTTTGGACTTTGAGTCTCCACAAAGTCTTGCAAGAATGAGCTCCGTAATCCAATTACTTTTGTGTGAAATGGTACTTCGTTTTCCTTGTCCCAAACCTGTCCATTGCATTATTTATTGGGTGCTCCCCAGTGTTCAAGCTCTGCAGTGTATTGAATAATGATTCCTCAGTGACCTTCTCCATAGCATTTCCAATTTTATTAGTTGATCTTCCATGGTTGCTCTGCACCATCTGCCAGCTGCTGCCCACTCTGGTTTGAACCTTCCATGTTAAGCTGTGTTTGGGGAAAAAAGTGGTTCTAAGCTTTGTGCTTGTAGTACAGAATCGTAGCAGCCTGGTCAGTGCTGCTGTCTTGCGTGTAACTTGACAGAGTTTGGGCTTTTCTCTTCTTTCTTCCCCAGTAATCCACCCTGACTTTCTGAGAAAGTCTCTTCTGTTACTTTCTCCCCTCTTCTGTTGTGACCAGGCCCTTAAAAATTTATTTCACAGTTGGTGTTAACTTTCAGCCTCTAACACTGTCTCTGTACTCTCGCCACTCAGGTGATTGTGGGCTTGCTGAAGTTCTGGCCGAAAACTCACAGTCCCAAGGAGGTGATGTTTTTAAATGAGCTGGAGGAGATACTGGACGTGATTGAGCCATCTGAGTTTGTGAAAGTTATGGAGCCCTTGTTCAGGCAGTTGGCCAAGTGTGTCTCCAGCCCACATTTCCAGGTGGGTTGCAGCTCAGGGAGGGGATAGGGCACTGGCTTGTAACCCATTTGGTATGTGAGGGTGACACCACAGCTTTTGGGCTTGTCTTTGTGGATCAGTGGCACATGGAGGTGTGACCAGGGTGAGTATTGGGATGACATGGGGTGGGAGGCGGTGAGAATCCTCACCACAACCATAGAGCAAGCTCATTCAAAGAGAAAACAAAGCGGATCGGTGGAGCTCCTCCTGTTGCACTGTGCTATTCAGCAGGCTGGAGCTGGAGCAGAGGTGCTCTGTCACCTCCTGTTTTGGCTAGCAAACATAGAGGAGATCCACCCAGTGTCACCCTGTTGCAGTAAAACCAAGCTGGCTGCAGTATTGGAGGAAGGCCAACCAAAGAGACAGTGTGCAGAGAAGGTACTTTGTATTATTCTGGTGTAGGTGGTAAAGCGTGAGGTATACTGAAAAAGTGCTGGAGTCTGCTTCTTCCTTGTTCCCACTGAAGGGAAGCTGGCTGTAATACCAGGCTAAAACAATCTCTGTGGCTGGTAGTCTTAAGGTTTAAAATGTCTAGGGTGGTAGGACCTGCTAGTAGCTTCTAGCAGATATTCTTGGCTCACTGGTTTAGGTTGCCAATGAAGAGTACCCAGGAAGAAGGTAGCTTGCTGGTGAAACACGTGGCTGACCCAGGTATGGGTGGGGTGTTAAATAGTGAGAAAGCCCTCCCCCAGAGTGAGTGTGACTGCACAGTGAGGCAGACTGGCTTCAGTCTGTCTTTTGGTATAGAGAGGTACAAAGTCATGTGTTTACAAGCCAAAAATGAGGTCAGTCTAGGTCATGTGTGTATGTAAAAGATCAGTTTCCGGGATAGGACTGGGGGAGCCTGATGGAAACCAGCTGGACATGGGTTACTGGTGTGGTGATTGGAACCAAAGGACTAACATGACCTTTGGGCGTGGAAGGAGCTACCATAGGGAGCTTGAATAAAGTAGGGTAAAGGCTGAAGGAAAGGCATCCTGTACTTGATAGCAGCCCTCATCTGCTGCCAACTCTTTGAAAAACAAGACTGAAAAGCCCGGAGAGGGTGCAAACACTTACAGCCTAAGAAAATTAACCCCGAAGGTGTCCCATACAGTCAGGCTGAACAGTCTCTGTGTCTGCAGCTTGTCTGTGAGGGCAAAAATAGGAATTGACTTCTTGGTAAGTCTGAACATCTTGATGGGGAGAGTTTTCTCTGAGTGGATTGTGTGTTAGTCTAGCAGGCAAAGGCTTAACGAGATCCAATAGCTGGAAACCAAATCTAGGTAAGTGAACACGAGGTGAGTTTCACTTTGTTTACTCATGTGGAACAACACGTTAAGGGGATATAGTGAGTTCGCTATCGTCTGAAATATAAAACTGCGACTGGATGTCTCTCTTCCTAGGTTTTTAAGCCATTCTCAGGCTAGTGCTAAATGCAGAAATTAGCCTGGTGATCTGCATTGCCCAGATTTGTGGTTAAATATGAAGAATTGTGGTTCAAGCTATCACTATGTGGAAACTTGTTAGACTTGTTTGTCTTGTTAGAGCAGAATGCCTGCCCCAAGATTTTCCATATTTTCACTAAATCAGGGGCTTGAATTGTGGGCCTGGTGACTGAAACATGCTCCAAAGCCCGGAGAGACTCTGTTGTGGGGAAGGTCAGGGAGGAATGGGAGGAATGGAGCTTTACAGAGGACTGAAGAAACAAAGGAGGCTTGGAGCTAGTCTGAACTGGGACCTGGAGTGAATGACATTACTGTCCTCAAGTGTTGTGTAAAGGGTGTTGGATTCATCAGTATATCGACGGTAGGCTTGCCTAGTCAAGAACGTGAGGCTTTCCCCAGGAAAGTGAGAAGTGTCTGACAGAGGCTAAGGGAAAGAAGGCTGGGCAGCAGGGATGAATGTAGAAGTTGACGAAGGTCAGCCCTGCTGCCTGCACTGTGGGGAAGCATTTGCTCCTTGGCTGGGTGGTGGCAGGCTCTGGTCTCAGCACTGCACAGTTTCCCTGTGCACCACAGGCGTTACTGGAAGGAGCCTCTCCAAGGATGGCTTTCTCTCCCACTGCAGGTGGCAGAGCGAGCGCTGTACTATTGGAACAACGAATATATCATGAGCCTGATCAGCGATAACGCAGCCAAAATTCTCCCGATCATGTTTCCAGCGCTCTACAAGAACTCCAAGAGTCACTGGAACAAGTAGGTCTTTCCGCATGCCCTGGCACTTGCTGTGCATGCAGGATTGCTTGACCTACTAGCGATCTTGGGGCATACTGCTACAGTGCAATGACGCATGGCACTCGGTGACACCAGGTGCTGAGCCAGAGGAGTTGTTAGTATCAGCATGGAAAAGTGCCACAGCAGACCACAGTGGCCTGCTTCTGCAAGGGGTCAGGCACCTGCAATGACCTGTCGTGGGGCCATTGAGTCTACCCAGAGTTTGATACCTGCATATCACTAATGCTGCTGATCTCTTGGAGGTGTGCAGTAAGTTTTCCAGCCAACTTCTGGCTGCTTGTTAACTAATGATCACCCATATGCTCTCCATGACCAGAGACCTTGGCTAATGCAGTGCCTGACTCCTTGAGTACAAGAAGAATGGAGAAAGCAGAACTAACCAGGCAGAATGTCCTATGTCAAATTATTGCCCTCTGTGTCTGATTCCTCAATACTAGTCTGTTTTATGGTTCTCCCATCAACTTCCTCTCTTCCGACTGCTTCTTCAGTTGATTCCTTACCTGGTTAATTCAAGTTGTAAAACTCACTTCCTTTTAATGAATTAGCTAAAAATACTTAGTCCACAGCTGAGATCCTAAAATCTTCCAGGAAAAACCACAAGATGACAAAAACAAAAGTCATCTTCCCCTATTCTAGAGGGTAAAAAAAAAGCAAAATAATTAATTCTAGGGAGGCTGGGCGAATCCAGGGTTCAGGAGTATGCTGTGGTAGCAAAGACAGGGTTGTGAGGTGGAACTTGTTTGCAGAGAGCTCCCAACTGGCCTGCTGTTTGACTGCTTCCTTCTCTTCATTGTATCAGGAAGCATGAACTTGAGCCACCAGTCAAGGGTGCTTTAAAGACTGGGGTAGACACAGACGCGCAGACATGAATGCACACAAACACCCAGATACGCACACGTGTGCGCCAACAGGCACGTGCATGTGCAGATGGGCACATGCATGCACACACACGTATGATGTGTATGCACATATGCACGTGTGCGTTGCAGACAGATGCGCACAGACACACTCTCACTCAGTGTTACTGCCCTTTCTGATCAGAGTTCAGAAAAGGACTTTATGTTCTTGTCTGAAACCCTTCACCAGTTCTGTTTCCTTCTTGTACCAGTCAAGATTCATGATTCTGCTGTTTCTGTCTTTTCTTCTTGCCTCCTTCCCAGTGGTATGGCAGAAGAAGTCCTGAAGGTGTTTTCCTCTTATTTCTCCCTGTCTTTATTTTAGCACTAGCCACATCTTCTCAGGGCAGGTTGAGTACCTCAGATTCTCCTATTCCTTCCCATAGCTCATCTACTCCAACAATTTGTCAGATAGCCTGCATAAGTCCAGTAGGGCTGTAGCTGTCTTCCTTATTCCATCCGTAGAGCTGGCGAGGCACAGAGCTCAATCTACTGAGTCTCATCTTTTGCCTCTGGGTCAAGTATTTCAGAAACAGCTTCAATACTTGTTTTTATTCCCTGGAAGAGTCCTCGTCCCAAAGAGAGCTCACACACAGTGCAACCTGTCCATAAATTGCTGACGCGAAGTCACCTTTTCTTCTGTGGTATTCTCTGTGCTGGTTCCCATCTCTACAGGGCTGCTGAATGTCTGTGTTTTGGGCAGCTCAGTGACAAAGCTCATGACTGAATACTGGGCAGCCCAAAAAAGTCATTGTGCGTATTGGAGGTGAACTGTGGGAGGCACTAAAGTTAGATTAGGTAAAGCACTCTTGAGAACAGAACTCTGAGTAGGTCCCTAGCATCCTTCCTTTCCAGTTTCTAACTACAAGAATTAAATGCATGAATGCATGGTTTTGCACTTGTTAGTCTGACCACAGTAGAGCAGACCTGTCCCACAGTGGTCTTCTCTTTCTTCTCCGTCTTTTTCTCCCTGTGCGATAGTCTCTGCTGTGTCTGTGGAGGGAGTTTTCCCATGCTAGGAGCTGGGACTGTGTGAAAATCTTTTGTCACATTGCGGTAGTATATGAGTTGCTGCTGCTGTTAGGTCTTGTCTGTGCTGCAAGTGCTAACTCAGGGCTGAGAACCTGGAGGATACCACCATGACTTGTTCTCCTTTCCTCATTTCTTTGCAGGACAATCCATGGGCTGATCTACAATGCACTGAAGCTGTTCATGGAGATGAACCAAAAGCTTTTTGATGACTGCACGCAGCAATACAAGGCAGAGAAGCAGAAGTAAGTAAGAGGTTCTTGCCAAGTAACTTGAGCTCATTCTGGAGTCTCCTTGGGGTACAGTAACAGATGGTAGGTGCCAGTAGGCAGAGGGTGGTGCAAATCATTTTGTCAAAAAGTAGGATTCCTCAGCAATAACTATATGTAGGGATGAGAAGAGATAAAATATGTGCCCTGATAAAAATCCTTTCAGTTCTGCTGAAGCAGCAGCTTGGAAAAGAGTGACAGAGTTTGCTGGGTCATGAGGAAATAAATTGCAATGTGGAAGATACTCAGCTTTTAGAGATGCTTATGCTCTGCCTTGGAAATATTTACTGGTTTGTATATGTCGTAGTGATGCCAGTGGAAACCTGCTGCTTTAGAAAGACTCTTCTGAAGAGCTTTGCTGCAATGGGCATAATGCATCTTTCATGCCACAGGACGCTTTCAATTTTCCAGTAATAAAGATGGAATAATACCTGGAATTTCAAAGAGCAAATGGTGGGGATAAAATCTGAGCTCAGCAAGCACCTGTGCCATGATGCTGTAAAGATGAAAAAACTCCACTTTTTCTGCTTCCTTGTGCTGGTTTTGGAGCTTGTATGACTTGCCTTGGTGAGCTGAGTCAGTTCAGTAAGCTAGAAGGAAACGTTTTTTTTTCCCTAGGTCTGTTTTCTGCTGACTTAGTGACATAAAATAGTGCTTCTCATTCCTGGATGGGCCAGAGCTGCCACAAGGGTGGTGGTGGGGAGAGCACCCTTGCTGGCAGTGCGGAGCTCTGGGATAGAATCATAGAATCATAGAATC